GGAACAGGGGAGAAAGAAGAGGTGCAGTGATCAAGATTTGTTATCCTTATAAATTGAAATGTTGAATTGAAACCCTTTTGTAAATTAACTAGTATTTTCATGAAAGTACTATAACATCACAGCTTTGGGCATTATGTATTACAGTTTATGTATTATTCTAAGCTGGCACTGATGGCTCATGACTGTAATCCTAGATACTCAGGGGGCTGAGATCTGAGGATTTTTTTTTTGGTAGTGGGGCCTGAACTCTAGGCCTGGGTGCTGTCCCTCAGCTCTTTCAGCTCAAGGCTAGTGCTCTACCACTTGAGCCACAGTACCTCTTCCAACTTTTTCTGCTTACATGGTGCTGAAGAATCAAATCCAGGGCTTCATACATGCAAGACAAGCACTCTACCACTAAGCTACCATCCCAGCCCCCTGAGGATCTTTACCAGAAATAGACCTATGATCTCCAATTTTGTTAAGGATTTTATTTAAATAAATGGTAAAGCTGGTACCATGGTTCAAGCTTAGAATCCTAATTACTCAGTAGGCTGAGATCTGAGGATCAGGCTTGAAACCAGTTTAGGAAGAAAAGTCCATGAGACACATATCTCCAATTAAACCAGCAAAAATCTGGAAGTGAGGGTGTGGTTCATGTTAAGAGTGCCAGCCATGAGTGAAAAGACCATGCTTGAGTATGAGGCCCTGAGTTCAAGTCTCAGTAGAGGCCCTAAAATTTAAAAAAAAACTAAAAAAAAGAAAAAGGTGTTCTTCCAAAACACAGGTAGCTTCCCCACCCATTAAGTGTTCTTTTCCTTAAAATGGTAGATTAAATGTGGATGTTTTGTGTGTATTTGCATGTGTATATAGAAGGTAAATAACTATGCAAATTATTTGCATATATTCTTTTTTCTGCTAGCACTGGAGTTGAACTCAGGGCTTTACATTCTCCCTTAGTTTTTCTATCAATTAGAGGTCTCTCCAGCTTTCCTGCCAAGATTGACATCCATCTTCAGATGCTTAGACTGCTGCATAGCTAGAGTACCAGGTGGTAACAAACAGCACCTGGTTCATTTTTTTTTAACCATTGATGCTTGAGCTCAAGAAAATTGTTTATAATGGTCCTAAAGCACTTTATCATGTGTCTTCATAATTTTACTTTTTGTATTCAGATGAAAATGAGTATTTTTCACCATCTTTAAGTTACTGGCTCCAAAAGGATACTAGTTCAAATTGAATCACAATACTAGCTTTGAGTGGATTCCAAGGAAATTTGGCTATTGCTACCTCAGGGATCCCTCTGGGTCACACAATCCTATTCAACCAAGGCTACCAGAGCTAAATTTTGAAGTCCAGCTGCCCTCTTTTGGTTGAAAGACTGCCCTTTGGGCTCAGATATTTGTCCTCCGTATCTAAATTGTATGTTTTGATGTAGTATGCAATACACTTCAAATACACTTATTGAAAGTTGGGTGCTGCAGACTCACACCTGCAGCTACTCAGGAGGCTGAGATATGAGGATTGCAGTTCAGTCATCCCTGGGACTCAAAAATCTGAGATTCAATATCTTCAGTTAACCAGAAAAAAAGCTGGAAGTAGAGAGCTGTGGCTCAAGTGGTAGCGTACCAGTCTGTGTATCAGAGTCAAGTGAGACTTGAGTCCCTGAGATATTGCCTCAGTATCAGCAGGTACTGATTTATAGCTGAATGTCTGTGACAGCAAGAATTACTATACCTCAAGAATATTTTAGGGCTGGGAAGTTGGCTCAGTGGTAGAGCACTTGTGCCTTGAATGCCTGAGGCCCTGGGTTCGATTCCTCAGCACCACATAAACAAAAAAGAAAAAACCCAGAAGTGGCGCTGTGACTCAAGTGGTAGAGCGCTAGCCTTGAGCTGAAGAGCTGAGGGACAGCACCCAGGCCCAGAGTTCAGGCCCCATGACCGGAACCCCCCCCCAAAAAAAAAGAATATTTTAAAAAATTTAAAAGGTTCAGAACTAGAACAAATCATGTTGAGCAAGATAAGCGAAGATCAGAGACAAATGGCACATGTTCTCCTTGATATACAGATATTAAAATTAAAATGCAATGAGATATGACAAGGTAAAACAGGACTCAAGTTATCCATACACAGTGAGACCAAAAGAGGATAGTCTCAGGAGAAAAGCACCAAGTAGCAATACCCAAGCACCCCTTCACTTGTATATGAGGCACATTGAAAAGACCCCAAAGATAAGTCATTTTTAGATGACTTGTATTTTTTACCTCATAAATGGTGTACACATATATTCACATCTGAGGGAAGTGGGAGCAGAGCACAGAATCAGTGGAAAATGGGTGAAAAAAATACAGTAGAGGGTCCCATCAGCTGCACTGGACATTGATGAAAATGAACTAAGCAACTCAAGGACAGTGATAGGAGCAAGAGAATGAGAAAGAGGGATACTAAGCAAAAGGAAAATGTACCTATCTCCCAATTTGAAACAAAGTTTTATTCTTAAAGGTCATAGAGTTCATCAGCAGGGTAGATTATGATGACTATCATTAATGAAGATTAAAAGTTTGTGACTTAGAAAAAAGAAGTACAGGTGTGGCTTAAATGTTGAGTGCGTCTTATGTTGTTGTTGGTTGTGGGGCTTGAACTCAGGAGGTGAATGTTGTCTCTCAGCTCTTTTTGCTAAAGGCTAGTGCTCTACCACTTTGAGCCACGATTCTAGTTCTGATTTTCTAGTGGTTAATTGGAGAGAAGAGTTTCATGGACTTTCTACCTGGGCTGGCTCTGAACCATGATCCTTAGATCTCAGCCTCTTGAGTAGCTGTATTACAGGCGTGAGCCACCAGAGCTGATAAGAGTGCCAGTAGTGAACAGAAAAAAAAAAGGGGGGGGGAACAACACCTAAACCCTGAGTTCTAGCCCTAGGACAGACACATGAGAAAAAAATAATTCAGGATAAATTTTGTCACAATAGCATGGAAATCCAGTGGACATGACCAGAACTGGTGGCTCATATGTGTAATTCTAGCTACTCAGAAGTCTGAGATCTAAGGATTGTGCCTCAAGGTGGACCAGGAAGGGAAGTGTATGACTCTCAGGGCTAATTATCTAGAAAAAAGATGCAAGTAGACGTATGGCTCAAGAGGCAGAGCAGCACCCTTCAGTGAAAAAGCTAAGGGACAGCCCTCAGGCTCTGCATTCAAGTCCCATTACCAACACAATCAACTAGAATGAGTATTAGGTATGGAAGAGAAAAGGTTTGCCTGTGATTTTCATCTCTCCACATAACCCATTTCTTCTTCTTCTTATATTCTTAAGTACTGGGGGACTGAACTCAGAGACTAACTGAACTATGCTTTTAGCTCTTTTTTTGTTTGTTTTTGGGGGGGGGGTCCGGTCTGGGGCCTGAACTCTGGGCCAGGGCGCTGTCCCTCAGCTCTTCAGCTCAAGGCTAGCATTCTACCACTTGAGCCACAGCGCCACTTCCGGCTTTTTTTTTTTCCTGCTTATGTGGTGCTGAGGAATCGAACCCAGGGCCCCATGCATGCCAGACAAGCGCTCTACCACTGAGCCACCTTCCCAGCCCTAGCCCTTTTTTGTATTTGATAAGGTCTTACTAACTTTACCCAGGTTAGCTTCAACCTCATGATCTTCCTGTCTCCCAAGAAGCTGGGATTAGAGGTGTGTAGCAGTATGGTTGACCCTTTTTCTTTTTCTGAGCAGATCTGGAATTTGAACTCAGGGTCTTGGTTTTTCTGGAGGCAGATGTTCTGTGATTTGAGCTTCAACTCCAGCACTCAGTCCACATACCTGGGATTACATACACTACCATATTTGGCTTATTGGCTGAGATGAGGTCTCAACTTTCTTTTGCCTGACCTAGCCTCAAACAGCAGTCTTGCTAATCTTCACTTCCTGAGTAGCTTACAGGTATGAGCCCCTGTGCCAAGCTACCCTTTTCAGTTTTTTCAAAGTAATACATAAACTTTAGTTCAAACATCCAAATTTGTACAGTATCACTTGTGAAGGGGCAGAATGACAAAGCAGTCTCAACTGAAATGTCCAAAATCTGCCTTGAGGATGGCAGTTTAAACAGCCTGGGCAGGAAAGTATGTAAGACACTTTATCTCCAACTAAACACCTAAAAGACAGAAGTGGAGCTGTGGCTCAAATGGAGCAAAGAAGCTCAGAGACACTGCCTGGCCGTTATTTAAGCTCTAGGACTGGCACCAAAAAAAAAAAACAAAAACAAAAATACCAACAATGTACTTTGAGATTTTTTTTTTTGTTTCCTCTGTATGTTCTTCCTCCTATGGTATATCCCTTGTTGTCACTGTACTTGATTTTGGTATCCTGCATTTTCCTTTTTTTTTGGTGGGTCATGGGGCTTAAACTCTGGGCCTTCACACTGTCCCTCAGTTCTTCAGCTCAAGGCTAGCACTCTACCACTTGAGCCACAGCGCCACTTCTGGTTTTCTGAGTGGTTTATTGTAAGAGTCTCACGGACCTTTCTGCCCTGGCTGGCTTTGAACAGTGATCCTCAGATCTCAGCTTCCTTAGTAACTAGGATTATAGGTGTGAGCCACCAGTGCCCGGTTACCCTGCATTTTGTATATACATCTGTCTAATTTGGGGAGGGGAAGAGGACAAGGACATAGAATGACCCATTGCAACAATGATACCCACAAGACACTATACCGGAAATGAGCTTTACAACTTTGGGGTTGGGGGGAAGGAGCAGGGGAGGTGGGTGAGGGAAGGAATAGTGAGAGAACAATAAAGGAGGGGTAACAATGCTTGACAAGAAATATACTCATTACCTTACTCATGTAACTATAACCCCTCTGTACAGCATCTTTACAATACAATAAAATTTAAAATAAAAAAACAAACAAAAAAAAACAACAACAAAAAATCAAAAAACCCCACAATTTAGAAGTGGAATTGTCGCCCAGTAGTGAAGTACTTGCTTAGCATGTACAAGGCCTGCTTCCATCTCAAAACGAACAAAAAAAACATGAAATGAAAAAACAATGCATAACTTTATTATATGTTTAATTCTATTATGAATACAAATGCATTGGTATCTTCATCCAGAGGGGGAAAAAACAAAAATAAAATGATGACACAAAGATGGCTTAAAGCAAATTCTATCACGACTTTATAAGCTTATTTATCAACAAAGAAGAGAGAATTAAAACTGGCTGAAAGGCAGCACATCTGAGTGACTGATGTTGCTGTGTTGGTATACCTGCTGCAGAATGCTAACGGCATGGACCAGTCCTTTTTTCAGCCCAGGGTGTGACAGTGCTAGTAGTTGGAAAAGGTTGGGTATGGGCTCCACTTCTTGTCTTCAGCTGAGACTGAGCAATGTCAGCCAATGCACTCTGGATCTTTTCCAGAAGCAAGTCTCCTCGATAAACAACATCTTCCAGACAGGTAGCAGCTTCATGGTTCTCTTCCTCCAGCTTATACAAGCTAGCAGCCTTGGAAAACACAGATAGGAGAGAGGCTGACATAGAGGGATTTCTTTTCTTTATTTATTTTTATTCTTTTTTTTGTGCCCTTACTGGGGCTTGAACTCAGGGCTATGTGTTCTTCTTTGGCTTTTTTGTTTAATGCTGGTCCCCTAAAACTTCTGGCTTCTTGATGGCTAATTGGAGATAAAAATCTCAGACTGTTCTGCCCAAGCTGGCTTTGAACCTTGATCCTCAAATCTCAGCCTGTTAAGTAGTTAGGATTATAGGCATTAGCTACTAGTACCCAGTTGAAGTATCTCTTTTTAAATTTGGATGATATTATAACCAACATGTTATATTTTACAATATCAGGAATTTTTTTAAAAAATCAGAGAAGTTAAGAATGTTTCCTGGGGCTGGGAAAGTGGCTCAGTGGTAGAGTGTTTGCCTCACATGCATGAGGCCCTCGGTTCAATTCCTTAGCACCACATAAGCAGAAAAAAGCTGGAAGTCACACTGTGGCTCAAGTGGTAAGAGCGCTAGTCTTGAGCTGAAGAGCAGAGGGACAGTGCCCAGGCCAGAGTTCAGGCCCCACAACTGACCAAAAACAAAAGAATGTTTCCAACACAAATTATAATGGGAATAGATTCTCAATGAAAAATATCTAAGTATCTCTAAGTGGTTTGCTGCCACACTGGTTTTGAACCTTTATGTTTGTGTGTGTGTGAATGTGTGTGGCTTGAACTTAGGGGCTAGGTGCTGTTCCTTAGCTTTTTCACTAAGGCTACTCTACTACTTGAGCCATACCTCTACTTCCAACTTTTTGCTAGTTAATTAGAGATAGTTCTCAGTTTCCTGCTTGGGTTGGCTTTAATCTATGATCCTTAGATCTTAGCCACCAGAGTAGATAAGATTATAGCTATGAATTACTGGTGCCTGGAACTTATTTATTCATATTGTGCTGGTCCTGGACTTGAACTCAGGATCTGGATGTTTTCCCTGAGCTTTTGTGCTCAAGGGTAGTACTCTACCATTTTGAGCCGTAGCATCATTTCCAACATTTTTTTCCCCAGTAAATTAGAGATAAGAGACTGCTGCCTAGGCTGGCTTTGAATCCTGACTCTCAGATCTCAGCCTCCTGAGTAGCTAGGATTACAGGCATGAGCCACAAATGACAAGCTACTTTATTTTTTTTGTAGGTTGTAGGGCTTGAACTCTGGGCCTGGGCGCTGTCCTTCAGCTCTTCAGCTCAAGGCTAGCACTCTACCACTTGAGTCACTGCGCCACTTCTGGTTTCCTGAGTGGTTTATTAGAGATCAGAGTCTCACAGACTTTCCCGCCTGGGCTGGCTTTGAACAGCAATCCTCCTACTAGCTAGGATTATAGGCCACTAGTGCCTGCTTTTTTTTTTTTAAACTCTACATCACACTCTTTTCTCATGCTTGGATAAGAAAATAAGCTGAGAAACACAGAAGGCATCTTTACAATTGAAAATGAACATCTATTCAGTACAATCTATACTAGCTCACATGACCAAAATTCCTATCTTGAAATTGAAGTCACTAATGGAGTAATAAAGATGCCAGTGCAATCTCCTTCCATTCAATGCGTTCCATTACTTCTCTATTACCTCATCAAAGAAAACAGGCAGGGCACCTGACCTCTGTAATCCTAGCTACTCAGGAGACCAAGATGCAAGGATTGCTATTCAAAGTTAATCAAGGCAAGTTTAAGACTCTTAGCCAGGCACCGGTGGCTCAGGCCTGTAATCCTAGCTACTCAGGAGGCTGAGACCTGTAGATCGCGGTTCAAAACCAGCCAGAGCAGGAAAGTCTGTGAGGCTGTCACCTCCAATAAATCACCAGAAAACCGGAAGTGGCACTGTGGCTCAGTGGTAGAGTGCTTGCCTTGAGCTGAAGAGCTCAGGGACAGAGCCCAGGCTAGAGTTCATGCCTCACGACCACAACAAAAAACAAAAATAAAAAGACTTTTATTTCTAACCATGAAAAAAAGCAAGAAGTGGAAGTATGTCTCAAGCGATAGAGCGCTAGACTTAGTAAAAGGTCAAATGAGAGTCTAAGGCCCTATGCTCCTGTATTGGCACGCGAGCGC